ACCTTCAGCCCTTCTCTGCTGTTCTCTCTCTCTACCCCAAAAGAGCTGCCCATGTTTTGCTTTACTGTAGCACCACCCTTAACCTTTGTCAGGTCAAACCCAGCAACAGGCCAAATAGCAAAAGCAGTCAAACCAATATTTACTCAGGAGAGAGCACACAACTAATATGCTAAGTGAAATCTCCTGGCATCTGAAGGGTTCCAGGAGCAACTGCATTTCTTTCTTGTTATACTTTTTGAAGGATGTTCTTATCGTTTGGAGAGAGCAGGACAATGTATATATGGAATCCTTAATAAAAACCCTGGTTCTGAGCAGCATGTATGTTAACTTTCATACCACGCTCCTTTCATCTCCTTCCCTCCCGGCTTCTCAGTAACATGTAAATGCATTAAAGAATATCAGCTTAAGCTTCTCAAATTGAGTGTTTCTAAGGTTTTCCTTAGAGGTTATTAGGTGCAACTCTTATTCTTTCTACCCAGAGAAACACTACAGTAGCAAACTTCCTTCTGAACAACTGAGACAAGACCCACTTATTGTGAAACAAGTCCAAATTACATGGATGAGACGTAAAATTACTCCAACAAGTCAGAGTTAGAAGTTTAACTGCTTATAACAAATTACCCAGGTCTCATTACTGGATTACTTATTGGGGATTAGAGAGCCACATTGGAAACAAGAGTGGAATGGGACATCTGTATCACCAGCTCCAAAATCCTGCAATTACACACAGTCATATAAGAAATAGTCAGTCCAAAGAATCTATTCCCTGTAATTTTTCTTGATTAACAAAATACTTCAGGCACTCCAGAATAAAAACATGCAAGTAACCCAAGAGACTGAAACACAGAACTACAAACTGCCAGAGTTAAAGTGAGGGAGACCAAGGGTCTAGTGTCCTGACTGTCTGCAAGGAATATGTTCAATAAAATTTGATTTTAAAAACTCTACAAGTGTGCACCACACTGCAGACAGAACAAAGCCCACCACCCCTACACACACACAACCCCTGACAAACTGATAGTGAAGGGTGCAGCAGGCAGAATATCTCCCAACAACAAATCACAGCAGTGGCTTCATCTCAATACAGCTACTTCATGCATTCAAACCTGCACTCAAAATAGCTGAATGCTACTAGTAGCAGCAGTAAGTGGCATTTGCTCAACACTAGTCAAAAGTGCAAATCAGACATTAGGCACTACAAAGAAGCAGAGAACCGAGCAGTGATTCTGATACAGCTCCTTATACACTCATGGCCCACCCGTACCTTCAGCACTGTGTGCACAGTTCTGCTTCACACCTCTCAGAGGATTAAATAAATGTGGAAGAGTTTCAAAGACAACCAGCCAGAATGATCACAGCATTTGAGGCAAGCGCCCTGACCTTGAGCTCATCCTTGGACATTCACTTTTGGTCACAGGCAGGACCAGAACACTGAAGTAGATGGACCTTTAGTGGGACACAGCACTGCTGCACTGTCCTCCCTCTTCTGGTGCTTTTGTAGAAGAAGTGGGGAAAAAAAAACTCACAAGCTGAAACACTGAAATTTTTCCATACATGTCCTTTCCTGTGCAAATTTTAACAAGACTTCCTAGAGAAACTGACTTTTCTCAGCATCTGTTTGAAATAGGGAACATCCATAGTTCATCTCATGCAAAACTAAAGAGAAAGCCTTTTTAGCATTTTTATAGCTTTACTGTTTCGCAACACTTTGCCCTCCCATTATAAGCTATTCCATCATATAGATGGAATAACTGAGATAGATGGACTAAGTAATTGTTTCAAACTCCCAAAAGAGAAACAGCTATTAGAAAATGAGCAGTTTTTTGCTTCCAATTCTGCACTCTGTCCAGTAGATTTCAGTATTCTTTCAGAGATTACAAAATAAAAGGATAATGTATTCACAGAATCTGCTGCATTCAAAGAAACTACCAAGTTCAATTCTGGTCAATACATCTCAAAGACAGAGCCGCAAGGGGCAAAAGGCCCAAAGACAAACAAGCAGAATGAGAAACCTGGGAAAATCATTCATACAAGCAGAGGCCGAAAAGGTGAGGTCTGCTCACCTTAATGGGAAGGTAAATTAGGGTACAGAAGTCTACAGATTATGCATAATAAAGAGAATTCCCTTTATCTCTTTCACTTAAAGGATATTTAATGAAAAAAATATTTGAACCTGGTAACAGAACATTTATAGAGTATATAAGCTAACCCATAGTACACACTGCCACGTGATATTGGAGGCAAAGAGCTAAACAAGGCTTCAGGAAAAATGCCTGAGACATGTAGAAGAACAATGGCAATAAGCCAAGTTCCATTACAGTAAGTGAAAATACTGAATGGAAATAAATGCTTTTGCAGCAGGGCACGTGTCAGCCTCTGACTGACAACACTTGAGAAGACTCTTCTCAAAGTTGTTCTCCAGAAGTTCTTTTGTTTTGGTTTTGTGAGGTTTTTTTGCATCTTCTTTCAAAGTCTTTGAAAACTGGCCACTATCAGAAGAAACAGGATAGTCTGTGTTTGATTCAGCACAGCAGCTACTACGTTGTAAGACGTATATAACACAATTATTCTTAGCACTCTACCGTGAAGGTCCTTACGCTCTCAACAACAGTTCAAATCAGCCCTCAGGAACAAAACTCTGTCTCCTACTATTGAATTTTGTTATGATGCAGGAGCGTGGACAAAACCAACCTGAAGTTATAGATGGGCACAGCAAGCAAGGAGAGGGGGGAAATTCCTGACAGCTTGATCCTTATGAGAAATTTCCATTTTCTCACTCCACACTGAGCCACCATACTCATTCACTCCCAGCCCAACACCTCCAAAATACCAGTGACTGCACTCCAAGTGACCATCCCCTCTGAAAAGAGCAGAGAAAGCAAACTTCGATTTCAGAGCTCCTCCTCACCCCTTTATCAATATCTTTGTTCTAATATAGACACACATATATATATATATGTATATGTATGTATTTACATATATACATACATATGAAAAAGTATATCTAAGCCTGAGTTGGAAGGTTTTAGCACAGTGAAAGAAAAAAAAAATAATTGTCATGGGCTGCGTGTATTCAACAAATAAAAGCGGAATTATATAAAAGCAACAGCTAATAAAAAAGATTGTTCTGTGCTGTGTTTTCCATCTTTCCAACCATTATAGGAATAAAATTATCCACAGAGAAGATCGAAAACCTTTTTCAAAACTAATACAATTAAGCTTTATTACACGGTTTCAAGTACATTCCTCTCCTCTCCCTTCTAGCCCCCACCAACTCCCACTCCAATCCAGATGAACGGTTGGAAGCATTCTTCTATTTTATAACCAGCAAAATGTTAGTGTTTAAGGGTCAGAAACTATCTGGTGTTTCAAGAGAGGAAAGAAAACCTGTCCTTTTTATCTACCTGCTTTTGTAATGTGTAAAAACTAGAAGACAGTTTCTATGCAGCTCTGCAGTTTGAACAGGACTATGGCCAAGTCACCTTGCTACCCTGAGAAGATCCTGAACTGAAATATCCATCACCCTGTTTAAAACGTTACCGTGCAACAAGGGACGTGAAACACAACAAAAGACTTCAAAAGGAGGACAATGCAACCTGGACACAAACTTCTCCCCACTCCACTGTCCATAAAGGACAGACACACATACAAATTTTCCCTGTGGTTTCTGCTTCATGAAACTAGATCCAGAGAGAAGAATATAATAGAAGCACACAGCATGAGACCAAGAAATTGCAAAAATTCCCTTTGCGTATGAGCATATGGACAACTGTGATAATTAGAACGATAGCTGCTAGATTGTTTGCAATTTCACTGAACAATCCCCATTATCTAGAAACAGAATTTAAAAACCTGAATGCAACACTGAGTGGTAGTTTTAATAGTTTATTTTTTAATGAACTGTATGGATTAAAGTGTTGCAAAATTGTATTATGTGAAATTGCTCATGGGCATGTTTTACCATCAATGGCTTTAAAAAAAAAAGGCTGTATGGACAATCACACAGTAGCAGGGAATGAGAAGGGGAAGAGATGTGCCAATATTTTTCTACTATTTTTATAATCTGCCGTTTCCCCATGTTTCATATTCCCCGTCACACTACATGTTGGTAGTAAAGCTGATTTCTGTCTCTTTGCAACCCACCTTTTTCATTGTCTGCATTTCTTTTTAGTCATAGGACTCATCTACGTGTCACATGCATGCAACTCCCTGTCAGGAGGTCTAATTGCTTCAAACTGAAGAAGATTATTCTCCACATTTATTAAAGAATAAAGACTACTTATAACATTATTTCATTTTGCCAGGAAGTGAAAAATGCATTAGTTCATAAGGAACAGCATGGCTGCTCCTATTTTTATGGCATCAATTTTTAAAAACTCATCATGGTAAACAATTAAACAGAGAAGCAAATCCTGTGTTTAGGGGAGAGGTTCAAATCCCTAAATGAATTTTCAAAGGTCATTTCAGGCTTAAAAGATGCTTGACGGTGTCTCTTTAAATCATGTTCATTTCAAAGGCTTATCCAGCAAGGAGCAGGCAGTGCTCTGCAGCACCCCCCTTTGAACTGCTGGGCTCCCCAGAGAAAAATTAATAATACAACTTTAATTCACATTTATACCGAGATTTGTGTTTGGATTGTTTTTTAGAAAAGGATTTTTAAAATGAGGAATTAAAAAAAAATAGTAGCACTTATTTTTTGAACCCAGCTTCCATGTAAACCCCATGTTGAAAAAGAAAATAAAGTTTGAATTACTTTAATCAAAAATCATCCACTTGAAAACCCCTTATATTTCAAATGCAAGTTGTTCAAAAGGTTTGGTTTGTGCAGCTTCTTCAACACTGAACTATGTAAGGTGTGGGGGGCAAAGAGACACCAGGAGCTGACAGTTCCATGTCCCAGCACAATGTCTCTTGTTTCTCTGCTCTTTGGATCCACACAGCTCTGCATCCAACCCCGTTAGTATTCAGAGACCACCACACTAAAGAGAAGTGAGCCTTACCTTCCTCTCAATGCGGGCCAGCTGCTCCTTATAGAAGGCTTCTTGCCTCTTCAGCTCTGCCTCCCTGCCTTGCAGCTCCACGGCCTGGCAAGAAGAAAAAAGAGCATCAGTAGACGACGAAATCAAAAATAAAAACTCAGAGTGCAAGGAAAGCACATGGGATGAAGACTGGAAGAGACTAAAAAAATCATTGCTCAGGACTGACGCATGGGATCCCTCTCAGTGGAACTACAAACTCTCAGTATTGCAGTTCACTTTGGATTATCTCCACAAGTTTGAAATGCTCTTATTTATACCATACTCAAACCCATAAACTTGATTTTATTTCTCCTCATTAAATGAAAACATATAGTCATAGAAAGGTGACATCTTCCTACTGCCTTTTCCATAACTCTACCTTACCCAAATCTTTGTTTTTCACAAATCATGTTTATTACTCCACTTCAGTGTTCTTCACCTTACCTTAAAAACAAACTTCAAATCTTCCACTTAACACACACTTGCCTCTTGGAGTTTCATAAAACTTGTAGAAATTTAACAAAACCCTACAATCACGAGGAAGATCTGAAATACAAGTCTATGTTGTAATATTTTTAGAGCAACACGCATTCTCACCAACCAAGCATTTGCTTTTACACACATATATAGGACTACCCTGGTAAGTAAGAACTCTCTCCACATGCCCCACCAGCACACCCAAAGTTCCTCTGGCCAGGTGCTGCAGATTTGGAGGGGAGATGGCATGACAATTTCTTTTCCATCTTCCCAAGCATAAATGTGACACTTCCAAAACAGCAAGCTTGATATACAGGCACATGCTTGAGCATAACCTGGTCATCAACTAAATGATGACCAATCACATGGTTACAGCAACAGCTTTTGCCTTGTAACTCTTCACAACCAGGAGCACTTCACTGCATTCCCACCTCCAAAATGAACTAGCCGTAAGCAAACGTGGCATTCATAGACCCGAGTCAAACTTTCTGAGCTTAAAAATAACAAGAGCAAGAAGAATGGCATTTGTTTTTCTTCCCCTATTCTACCCCAAACTCTCCAGGGCCACGTAAGGTATCATCAGGTAAGAAGAATTTTCAAAACAAGAATCATTTAATATGAACACAAACCCCACTAATCTATAGCATCCTGGCAGCACTCCTCCTAACTTGTAATGATGATGGTACCATCACAGAAAATGCTGGTCCAATATGATTAAGCATCTGGGACAGAAACATCCTTGTGGGCTCAGACCTGCCATTTTATGGCCAACAGCCATTGTTAATAAGAAAAATTGCATCTGAAAGCCAGTTGCTCTGCATTTCCTTCTTTCTTCTCCACTGCTGATGGAAATATAGTGGTATAATAGAGCTCAGAAGAGATTTTAAACTAGGCAGTGAGGGACAGTTGACAAGCAAACAAGAAAAGAAGTAGGAGTACATGAAATAGAGGGTTTGCGGGGGAGTGGTGGTGTCTGTTTGTTTTAAAAGAAAAAAATATTTTGGTTCCTATGTTTGTCATCCATCCAGACTGGAAAGGTACATGCACTACAGACTCACATCTAAATCCTCTTGATCTCAAGGACACTTGAATAAAGGCAAAATCTCTGGTTTTGCTTTAATCAGAGTTGCTACATATTTCCAACCCACAAACCAGCTGAAACAGAATGGGAAGTGGGGCGAGAATCATCTTCCCCATACACGCAGCCTGACCAAAGAGATACCACAGCAACAACAGGGGCACTGATGGGCACTTTGTAAGTGCCAAAATTATTACCATTTCTGTGATATGAGAACCAAAGCTGTCCTTCTGAACCAATACCCATCTTCCGTACAGAAAAGGAACAAACAATTTCAACTGAAATGAAACAGATGTAAGAAGGCAGGGTGATCTGGTGGGTGGCCAAAGGAACCCTATTCTCCTGCTGATTTTGTGCATAACACCCATAAAATCAGATTACCAAACAAGTGATTTTTATTTCCTCAAGGAGAACACAAATAAGACAAAGAATGTAAAGTAACACAGGACTGACCCCTCTGCACAATTCACATGGAAGGTACTTTTGATGCTCTGTGTATCTTGAGAAAAAGATAAAAGAAAAAACACACACAAAAAGAGTCAAAGGATCAACTCTTAACAATGCCAGAAACTTTCTTCTGCTTAATCTAAATAACTGAATTATGTGCCAGTGCTATAATCCTGGGATAACAGACTATTCTGGAAGCACAAAGCCAACATGTGTAGCAATAAGGGTGGGTGAGAGGCTTTATTCTGTTTCTGGCAAGACACAGATACGACACCTCTGGAAGGGACCACAAACCAAACACCTAACCTCTCAAGTGGGGTGCTGAGATGCAGACACAAGAGGTGTGCTGATAGGCACGCCGGTGACCCATGGACTCCAAGCAGACGTGAGTGGAGCTGGGGTGCCCACAGTGAATAATGCCTCCACACCAACACACCCTGCAGCAGACAGACTTCCTGCCAGTGACTTCCTCAGGGTCTTGCAAAATTGACGGCAAAGAATCAGAACTACACCTCCCAATTGCAGGCTACAGCCTCAGTATACACACCATTCTTCCCTCTAATTTCTCCCATACCATCTCCCATTATTCTTCTACTTATTGCCCATAAGTTGTATGATGAGCCAGAGGTTGCACAGAAAACTTCTACTCGCAATGCAAACATTTCCAATGTCTTGCTTGTTTTCAAGAGCTGCTGCTGTTTCAAGTGCATTGAAGTCTACTGTGAAACATTCTATTTGTAACTGATCTGCTTGAAAGCTGCTTTCTGTTTCACTCTATCCCCAGCTGTTATTACTAGAAACTTTAGTACACTTTATGATGATGTTTGAAGTACGAATGGTACAGTCAGAGCGTGTGTCATTTGAAATATTCACTGTTCCAAAACTAGGTTAGGCAACAAGGGACACTTTGTATGAATACAGGATATTTATTAAGAGTTTCTCTAGTCCTGCTGCTTATTCCCTACCTGAAGTCAGAAGCCTGTAATGTCCCAGACAGGACTTGCTGCTATGGAGATGATTACAATTTCACAGGGAATTCAGATTGCAGGTGCCTAACAAAGCATCAGATACACTTTTCACATAAAGGAACTAAAGAAGGAAGGAGAAGAGAAGACATGCTTGATAACAGACTGGTTTGAAGATCATGTATCACAAAGTTGCATCTCACAAACACACTGCAGAAGCTCCATCTGAGCTCCAACAGATCATGCAAGATGACCAAAGCCCAGAGATGACATCTAAGAAACTGTAGTGCAGAACACGGCAGAGAATGTGATGTCCAAGAAGTACAAAGACAGAAACAGAACAGGAGGAAGGAAGCAATAGTGTAGGTAGGTGTAAAACACAAATGCACCCAAACTTAGAAAAGTAGCGTGGGACAGCATGCATATGCAAAAGACAATGTATGCAATAGGCAACTGGCCTCCAGAGAAAACCTAGGTATAAAATATATCCAGGAAATGCTCAAGAACTCCCTGTGATCTGACAGAAGTTACAACCATTGCATTTCTACAAAAGGGCAGGGAAGGTGTACTACTAGTATGCTACTACGGCTTCTGTAGGCATGGATCCATGGACCTGTTGAGGGGTCTTTGAAATTCTTCTTTTATCTTTACTGTTTTTCCACAGCCCAAAGTTTTTCAGGTTATCTCAGTGCTGCTTTTAACAGTGACAAAGAGCTAGGGCAGAGTCATGCACAATTCCCTGGCTCCTGCCCCCCTTTATCAAGCAACCCATTTAGAAACAAACTGTGAAGGCACATTTCTAAAGCTATGTATTACATACTGGCTCAGCTAAAGAATTCAAGCACTGGCCTGCTAGCTGACAGGCAGGCCAAAAGAAATATTTGACAAGCCTCTTAATTGAGGTAATGAAATATTATGGGTTCATTCTCTATGAACAAAGCCAGACACTCTTTGCCTTGTCCTGAACTGACACCACCATGCAATGCATCAGACTGTGCAACGGATCTCCTAGAGCCGGGCTTCACTCGAGCTACACCCATTCACAGAGTGACTTTGGCTTTGCCCCTCATGAAATATCAGCAGATTTTTATTATTTTTAATCACAGTCCCTTCTCAGCACCTTGTTAAACATGAAAACTAGGAAGGAGATCTGCTTGAAAAAAAAGAGCTTTTGGCAGGGTCAGATTACAGTAGGGAATGTGGCACCCAGCAATAGCACAGCCCACAGCTGAAGGCTACCATCAGGCTGTCTGTCTCTACAACACTGTTGGGAATCTGGGATTTGTGTAAAATCACATGGAGAAAATTCAACTGGAGGGGGGAAAAAAAAAAAAAAAAAAAAAAAAAAAAAACCAACACAAAAAACCCTCTTGGCAAAGAGCAAGTTGAGCTAGAAGGAAAGGTCCATACCTCAACCTATAAAGAACTTCCCCAAAGGCAAGTCACAGCACTTGGGCAACATCATGGCAAAAATATTTATCTTCTTGGCAAATCACATCCACCAGTCACTAGACAATCAGTCATAGGCAATCCAGGGAAGGATAAAGGAAAACATCCTTAAGTCTCTATCAAATAGCATCTTTCTACATTATCCTGTCCCGAGAGGAGTTATCAGCTTCCTCCAGGGTATCCAGTAACATCTCTGCAGCAGCCCAGCAGACATGTTTTGGCCCAGTACCTTAGCTTGCCACCCTTCACAACTACAAATTCTTATACCTCATGTTTTCCCATGTCTTTTCATGTCCAGGTGGCAGAGGAGGAAAACAAATGCTATCAAAAGCTCCAAGATTGGAAGAGGGAATTGACAACACACTGCAGAACAGAACTAGCTCCAAAATGAGCTAGCTTGCATGCTCTTCACCAAGCCTAAAGGGAACGGCAGAGCTGAAAGGGCAATGCTGAAACAGCAAGAGGCAGCTTGTGCACATCATGCCTGAGACTGAGCAGCAGAACTTTACAGGGAGGCTTGTACTGGACAAGTAACCACAAGGGAGCCTTGACTCAACCTCCACTTGCATCAGCAGAAATATTACCGCTGCTGTAGCCACCTGCAGTCGCTATTCCAGACACACGAGGCCTACAACATCATATGCTTTTTGTCCTTCCTCTCATTCTTTGTAAGGCAGGTGATTTGGTCTTGTTTTGTTAGCCAGATCCAGACTCGTGGCCTTAAAAAGCAGTACTGGTGTAACCTTAATTTCCTCCTGTTTCCACTACTCTCTTAGCCAACACCACACATCACCAGATCAAGTTTGGTTTAAGCAGCTGTAAGCTACACAAAAGGAACCAGTGAAAATCTTTATGGAGGAAATAATATGCAATTTTCTAGCTGAACACCTTTTAAAACGTAATGACAGAAAATAAAATCCTGCATCTGTGCTCAGCAATAACAATCTGTACACACACAGTAACAACATGACACTTGGAATAAGCAAGACCCAGAAAAAAAAGAGAGAGAGAGCTTACCCAGGCGTCCAAATCCGCGGGCTTGGAATAAAGAGAGGGCAAGAGAGAAAGGAAGGGAGAGAGAAGAAAAAGAGAAATCAGCAATTTAGAGAGGCTGGCTGCTGCTGCACAATGTAGCTTTTAGGATGACAAGTTTAGAAAAGTTCCTTAAAAATGACAAGCATCTTAAGCAGTGCAGTGCTGTCCCCTGTTGGGAACAGTGCTGTTAAAGCAAAACAAAGCACATGCACCCCCAAAAAGAAAAACAAAATAAAGCTCCCAAAGACTGCTGCAGGATCCCCCTCCCTCTAGGTTGGAAGCCAAGAGAAGACAACAGTGAAGCAGCCACTTCCAGGGAGTCCTGCAAGGTGCTGCACAATGTCACAGAAGCTGACAGCCACAGCTTGCACGGATGAACGTGGCAACACTAAGCATGCGCAAAAGGTGGCCAACAAATTTGCCTGCAAAGAACAAGTATCCTTTTGCAAGGGCATTTTTGAATGTACAAGCTGACCCACATAGCAAGTCATCTTCTTTACTGTACAATTTGAGAGTACTTCCTAATAGTAAGTATGGAATACTGATTGTATTTCCAACCAGATCCCCTTTCATAAGCTATAGAACACACCTCTAGTGCCCAGTCCAAACCTCCGCCAGACCCAAACCCAGGCTGCCTTCACCTGCTCCTTTGTCAGCAAGCCTGTTTCAGTATGAAGACAAGCAGACAAAGTTGTATCACCTTTTATTTAGTTATTACTACTTTTTACTTACACAGTATCTCAGCAGCAGCAAAGCAAACACAAGATGATAAACATTTCATGCCCATAACCACCTCCTTCTGAAGCCAAAGCATTTATGAGGCAGTCACAGCTCTCATTTGCTGTCCAGGGCTGCAAGCCTTCCCTGCCTCTCAGGGCTACATTCAATCAGCAGCTCATCCACTAAGCAGGAACTACAGAAAGGCTGGCCTTTTATATTATGATTATTTATTTGAGGGGAGTTGACAGGGCAGGAGGAACTTTCCTCTTGGTCATAGTTCAGTGCCAGAGGGAGCTGGCGGTGGAGTGCAATATGTTTATGAGCTCTGCCATCATTTTAATGGCACAGAGCGACTACTTCAGGTAGCTGAGGGATGGTGTGTCATCAGCTGTGTCCCCTCCATCCTCATCCTTTGCAACAGCTGAGAGGGCTGCAACCAAACATCTACACTCCAACCAGGGGAAGCCAATTCCGCCATTTCTGCAGACAGGGGCATCAAGCCCCTGGCCAAACCAACCAATACACAACAGGTGCTCACTGGTAAGCACTGGCCCATCTTGACAAAAGCCTGATTCAAATAACATTTTTCTTCCCTCTGTTTTTTACAGTCAGGACAGATGTGTTCAGTTTTGTTTTTACATTTCAGCCATTGCAAGGCTGTCCGTCCTCAGCAGATGGACAGAAGGAACAGAGGGCTCTTTATGGTGCATATTATTATTTTGAGCAGGTAGGTCATGCACACTGGTAGCTCTTTATTGGATGTACATCTGTCATCCCTGGGGTGCCTAAGCCATTAGCTGTCACATTCCTGGTGGACAAATGCTTGCATGACAAAATGAACACAAGGTACTAACTCAGTGGCACTGGACAGTTGCTGAAAAGAGAGGCAGGAGAAGGAACCAGCCCTGTCACTGAGAGGTGGTCCCTCTTATACCCCTGTAAGATATAATGTACACAGCAGAAATGCAGTTTTAAGAAACATAACACTGCTACTAACCACAGGGTGTCTCTTCTGCTGGTACTGCCAAAGACTTTCATTTTGGAAGGGAAAAATTATTGCTCCAAGAACAGACAGATACACTCCACTCATTGGAAACAGGAAAATTAAAACAGGTGGAGACACACTAGGCCATATCACTGTGTTGGGAAAAACAACTATATTTGGAGTGAAACACAGACTAAATAAAATAATTTTTTAAGAAAGAAAACTCAAGAGGGCTACTGGTTTCTACCTCCTAAGCATGTGCCAAGATCTCTTTATAAACCTGCATTTACCAGCTTTGACGGTTAATAAAGGACACAGCATGTCCACTACTATTTTTTAAGTTTACTTAAACTGTTGAAGAAATGAGCAACATGCAGGTTCCCTAACCAAGGGAGTTTCACTTCAAGCTCACAGTAAGGGGCTTGTGAGTTTTATAATCCCAGCCCTGGGACACAAGCCATTTTTTAGCACTCTTGTGCTAAAACAAAGGTTCATCTCTCTTCCACTGGCTAGCAAGCACAGGAAGATGAATAAATCACTTAATCATTTGGGGTCAAAAACAAATAAAGATATTTCTCTTGCCTCTGTCAGAGGCAAAAGTTTATTGAAACAGGATCTCAGGCCAAATCAACAACCCCTGTCCTAGGTACTTATACAGGTGGGAAATAGGACACAGTCCACTTGGAGGAGTCTGGCTAGAAAATGGAACTACATATGTAATTCACCTATGCTTTCAAAAATTCCACCTTTCAGCACCAACTATTCAGGCAGGGGATGCTTTCTCATGTGTGAATCAACAGCCCAGCTTCCAATGAGATCAAGAATACAGCACCAAATTAGTATTTCACAGATAGGGACAATTTCCAGCATCTTTTCCCAAGCCCACACACCACATCACCCATACACGACTGCTATAACAGGCACATCGCTCAAGTCTGTCATGGTCTGGGCAAGTGTAAAAATGGCAGCGAGCACTCCAAACATAGTTCTGCAGTTGGCAGTGAGGAAGGCAAGGATCAGAATGATAAAACAGTGGCCTTAGAAAGAGCAAAGCCTTTGTAGCCTGACGGGAACCAGCTTCAGCCTAGATGTCCATTACCTTGCCACACTCAAAAACTCCAACGTAAAACTAATTTAACTACAGTGTGACCAAGGACTCCAGGAATCCAGACTACCAGCTTGGTAGAGATCTCCTACTTAAGAACACAACACAGTATTTTTAGGGACACTGCCAACTTTGGGAGTGGAAGATAGAGTGGGAGATGCGAGAAATGAGAGGCAGCAGGTGCCCAAAACCCAAGACAGCTGCTGGCAACAACTTTTGCACTCATGTCAGTATCTGAAGAGCTCTGCAGCACATATTCTAACATCTTGATGACCAGACTTCATCACTGAATGAGCAAAGAGTCACTTCTTCGTAAGGCGATAATCCAGCTCTAAACTTTTTCACGATGATAGGAATTAAAGAATATATCTAGAGATTCAGTACCCACTCCAGACCCTTAAACACTTCCAGTTTAGTGGAAAATTGAAACAGTATCAATATCAAATGTAATAAGAGTCAGAGATGTAACCAACTGACAAAGGAGAAGAAGCAGGAAGAGACACTGAGCAGCAATCAGTTTTGAGGAAAGGCTGCGATGAAATTGCTCAACTCTAATTTATACAGAGCATACACAGTTCCATAAACATGAAGATGGGAAGCAGCAGAAAAACCCTCTGCCCTTTTATGATTCAGGGACAACCACATTTCTAATACTTATGGCATTGCTGCAAATAGGTTTGCAATGCTGACAGTTGATAGTTTTCATTTAAAACAAAATAAAGAGAAACCTATTTTATAAAATCCCTAGTAAACCATCTGCTTTCATTGCTTGCTTTAATACTTCAGCCCATTCCCACATTCTCCTTTTCCCATCACTACTTCTATACATACATATATACAGTTTTCATTTTGTAGGCTGCCAACAGACAAGGCATTCAATGTCTATAGAAATCTTGCCGAGCGTAGGCTCTCTAGAGATGTATGCTCAAGATACTTATTTCTGATAGCAGGTGAGTCAACAACTCCCTCTAAATTTTTCCCTCCCTGCTTCAATTCCTACTCTGCCTGCTAGATATAAGAATCTCCAAATCCCTGACCAATTCAGGGGAAAGAAAAAAAAAAAAAAAAAAAACAACAAAAAAAAGACCCCACACCCACATATAACCACACACACAAAACAATCAAATACCACAACATAACAAATTCAAGAACGGGCATCATAAAACTCTATATTAATTACAACTTTCTATCCTAGAACATATTTCAACCCTACTGAGTCAATGAGGTATTTTCTCATAAAGTCAGAATCAGAGGCCACTCAACTCTTCTTGGATTATTTCTAGCTCATAATCATTAATACAGACTCCCATTATGCTAGCCTAAGGGTGGCATATGGCTTTCTAGGGATAGGACAGACGGGGGAAAATAACAGTTACGCATGCCTACATCCCAATCTCATTTCTGTGCATGCATATGGGGACATAGCTTTCTCTTGCCAGATTCTTAAATACCAAGTATATTAGCTTCCGAGTCAAACAGTACTTCAGACATAACTACTGTTTTGAGAAAAATCCACATGACATGCCTAATCAACCCACGTGCCTCCAAGCAGTAAAAATTATGAACTATGTGAGTTCAGAAGGAATTCCCTTCCCACATTTGCTCTCAGACACTACATGCAATTTTTACCTGCCTCTGAATAAAACCGGTATTTACAAAGATCAGCCAATGGATACGGGTTTAGCGTAGTACATGGGATACAGAGTTCCTGCCATAAGATTAGAATTTTTATTAAAAAAAAATATTAAATACGATACAGTTTAAGAGGAACACAGTTCACTTTGGGCTGCTTTTTAGAACAGGCAAAGAATGTCTTAACTGCATGCTTGAGTAAGAAAATCCTTGAAAGCTTTCAGTCATAATCATGCACCCCCTATCTCTGTGCATCCTTCCACGGGCGGAAAACCAGGCGCACTTTCCAACATCACAGTTTACATTTTCACCCGCTTTGACAGTCTCATAAATTGTCCTGTTCTCCCTTACTCCTCCACCCCAGACATACACAAAGCACTCTTGACATGGCCATACAGGATCAGTACCTTTCTGGGGATAGAATCCAACGTACCAGTTTGCCAAGATGTACGTGAGAAAGACACACAGTAATACATATTTAGTATAAATCAAGTGGATTCCAAAGCCTTAAAGAAGGGACCACAAAAGTCATAGAGGATTCACGTTAAAATAAATAGTCTA